CCCGAGAAAAAAAGCACTCTTAGGATTCCCAAGGTGAAACTGCCCTCACACCTGCCTGAGGGAAGTGTGCAGAAGGTGGCCCTAGGCTTGGTCCACCTTCCTGACCAAGGAGCCTTCTGGATTTGCCAACTGATGGTGGCAAAGGAAATGGGGATTCCACCAAAAAAGCTTTATGAACAAAAATTACTGTGTCATTATTATTTTAAGGGCTAATTTTGGATTCATTAGTATTTTTTGAACTACTTAGGAAGGAGAGGCCGGGCAGTGGGCGTTTTCTTTTCCTAATCTCTAGTCGTGGTCAACAGGAATCCATTCAGTGAGTGGGCCTTAGTATCCTCACACTTTACAGGAGGACTCCCAAGAGGGTTCTGGCTTGGCTTTATTACCTGGAGTGGGGATTTCATCTCAGCAGGTGCTCTTGTGAACAAAAACTGAATAATGATGCTGAATGGAATAATGTCCCCCAGTGCAGGGCTGTTGGCCACATGTTCACTTGCTTGGAAGAGCAGTGGTCTACAAGAAAAAGCAGAAGTTATTTCATGCTGTTCAACACGGAAAGGGGTGATTTAGCAGCAGAAGCATTCTCTTTGATTAATGACTTTCTTCCCAGACTGGACACTGAAGGACACCCCCACCTCTAACACCCCTCTACTTAGTCCCATATACATGAGTGCACCCCTCCCCCATCCACATTCTCACAGGCTGATCTATCCTTCAGCTCCTTCTGTGACCCCTACCTCACTGATCTATGGGTCCAACTTTACTTCCAGTTGACTCAGCAAAAATTCCCTTAGAGTTCATCTAATCTACACAGTAAAATCAAATAAAGCACAAAGTTAAGCCTTTAAGCAGTTGTGACCAGTAGATTTTTATGGGGAAAGTGTGCAGGAGGTGCCACAGGCCTTGGTCTACCTTCCTGACTACCAAGGAACTTGGATTTTAACTTTGATTCCCTAAGAGCCAACAGTCCTTTTAGCTTTCATTTTAAATGGAATTCTTCTTTTGCTTCTTATAATCTAATATGGATAAACGCAAACATTTTCTGCACAACTTTTCAAGGCTGGGCACGGTGGCTCATGCCTATAATCCCAGCACTCTGCGAGGCCGAGACAGGTGGATTGTTTGAGCTCAGGAGTTGAAGATCAGCCTTAGCAAGAGTGAGACCCAATCTCTAAAATTAAAAAAAATAAAAATAAATAAAAAAACTTTTTGAAAGGGCAATTTTATCTCTGTATACATAAAATTATTACATTATTAAACATTCTATAAAAATTTATGGTAGCTCCTTTATAATATACTGCATGTCTGGGTTATACTGCCCACATTTTGTAAGAGGAGGAGGCAACCAAATCCACTCCACTAGCAATCATATACCACCTTACGCAAAAGGCTGGCAAGAATTACTTGAAACTACTATTGATCTCTCCTTGGCTATAAGCTCTGATGGTCAATAGCTAATTGGAAACTGAGCTATAGAGGCCGAATCTCAAAGGGTAAGATGGCAGCATCTCTAGGCAGATCAGATAATGACTCTGAGCCACGTGAAAAAGCACTGTATCCCAGAATCTTTCTTCACTCATCTTAATCACTCCAATTATGAATGAAGGCCTGTACAAAGCAGAGAAGAGAACTCTTCCTAACACTAACAACAAAGTTTTAGGCCAAGAGTCAGGAGTGCCCTCAAAAGACAGTTGATTCTCATTAGATCCAAAATATTATTAGAAAAAATGGCTTTATATTAACTATTCAACAAACAAAATCTATTTCTGACAAGGATTTTTCTAATTGTAACTGCTTTATCAAATGACATTATTTTATAATTTATTTTCATTAGTTACTGGGGAAACAGTTCCGTTGTTTATGTTGTCTATCAGCACAGAACCATAAAGCTCCACTCATTCCACGGGAGGATGACTAAAGTCTTCATATGGCCACACTGAAAATTTAATATACTTTTCTTGAAATTTTTCAAGGCCCAAGTCATTTCTCAGGGTTCCACTCTGTAGAGTTGTAGGCTATCAGCAGCCAGTCAGGTACAAGAATTTTGCTGAGGAAATTTCAGTTTTGTTTGTAGGCAGCCCTATAAGTCCTTCTCTGTGTGGATGACAGTGTCTTTAAGTGAAAGTTCCTACTTTTATCATTATCATCATTGTTGACAGCCACAATAGCTAAAACACACAGCACTCACAATGTGGCAGGCACACTTTAAAGCCATATGGAGGGTAAGGTCAGCAAGATGGTAGAATAGGATGTTCCAGGCTTCACTCCCCACAATAGGAAGTCCAACTAGCAACTATTCATACAACACCACCTTTGCGAAACCTCAAAACTTGGGAGTAAGACTGAGACACCTGCACGAACCATGGAACCATATAGAAATTGCATTAGAAGAGTAAGAGAAATTGTCTCACTCTGACCACATCACCCCTCCCCTGCGACCAAGTGGCACAGTGTCACACAGGGAGAATTCTCCTAAGCCCACAGTGTGTACAGTGGGAGAAAAGAACCAAAAGTAGACATCTTTTTCCCAGCGTTCTGCTTGCTTCCCCAGCATTCTGAGATGCTTGAAAGGGAGCTTACTCTTGTCTTGCCTCAAGAATAGAGGGAGTAAAAAGAGGGCTAGATCCCCTGGTGTCTACCGTGTTTCCCTGAAAATAAGACCTATCCAAAAAATAAGCCCTAGCAGGATTTCTATGCATTTGTTAAATATAAGCCCTACCCCGATAATAAGACCCAGTGATGGATATGGTTTCCTAGAAATGGATATGGTTTCATCAATAGGCCCTGGTGGAATTCCAATTCAAGGCAGGAGATATGCAGCGGACCAGATACGCTGCATAGTCATGCCATGCATTTCAGCGCGGAGAGGAAGACATACCCTGAAAATAAGCTCTAGTGTGTCTTCTTGAGAAAAAATAAATAGAAGGGGCAGGGCCTGTGGCTCAAAAGTATAGAGTGCCAACCCCATATGCCAGAGGTGGCAGGTTCAAACCCAGCCCTGGCCAAAAACAAAAACAAAAACAAAACTGCAAAAATAAATAAATAAATAAAAATATAAGACAGTGTCTTATTTTCAGGGAAACACAGTATTAGAAATAAAGCAAGAGGGTGGAGAGATTAGAAATAAAGCAAGAGGGTGGAGAGATTAGAAATAAAGCAAGAGGGTGGAGAGAGCCCTGAGCAGGTCCACAGCCGTAGTAGGCCTAATTAGCATCCCACATCGGGAGGAGCCACAGTTATGGCAGCTGGCCTCAGTTACCCTCACTGAAACCATGAGCAGCAAGGCCAAGAGAGACCCAGCAGCTGCCCACCACCCCGCCATAAGCACTGCCCACATCTAGCTGCAGCAGTGGCACAGGGAGCGGTGGCCCAGGTCGCCTCACATCAGCGGTACTTGCCGGCAGGACGAGGTGGTCATCACAAGGAAGGTTTTGGGAATAGTAAAATGGGTCAATGTAAGAAATGGATATGGTTTCATCAACAGAAATGACAACAAGGAAGATGGATTTGTATACCAGACTGCCATAAATAAGAATAACCCCAGGAAGTCCCTTTGCAGTATAGATGGAGAGACTGGAGTTTGATGTTGTTGAAGGAGAAAAGGGTGAGGAGGCAGCAAATGTTACAGGCCCTGGTGGAACCCCAGTTCAAGGCAGTAAATATGCAGCGGACCATAATGATAGGTACTATCCACATCTCTGGGGTCCTCCACGCAATTACCAGCAGGTTCAATTTCCTACACTGAACCAGAACAGTGAAAGAGGGGAAAAGAACAAGGGATCGGAGAGTGCTCCTGAAGGTCAGGCTCAACCATGCTGGCCCGTGGCAGGCGAAGG